AAATAAATAAAATCTTTAAAAAATAAATAAATAAATAAATAAATCAAATACCATGAAGGAAGAAACATGGTTTTCTAAAGCTCATAATCAAGGAAATTGTCTTCTGCTAGAAGGTCAGAGAAGGCTTTCTTGAGAAAATAAGGCTTGAGTTGACAACTACAGGATAAATGAGATTAACAAGGTAACGGTGGGGAAGTTACAGGCAGAGGGAACAACAGTACAAAGGCCTAAAATCATGGTGCCTTACTTATTAGAAGATCTAAAGACCACAAGTGTAAAAAACAAGGAAGCACACTGGATGAGGCTTAGAGAGGCCCAAAGAAGAGGGCAGGGAACAGACAATGGACATGCTAACAGACCAAGCTAGGGTATTGGGTGTTTATCACAGAAGCAACAGGAAGTCATGAAAGTGATAAACATGTGACCAGGTATGGATTTATACATAGTTTCTGAAAAATGAAATGGAGAGGCAACAGAGTAGATGAGAAGAGTAGTTAAAAAGTAATTCTGGGGATGCCTGGGTGGCTCAGTCAGTTAAGCATCTGCCTTCGACTCAGGTCATGATCCCGGGGTGCTGGGATTGAGTCCCGTGTTGGGCTCCTTGCTCAGTGGGGAGCCAGCTTCTCCCTCTGCCTGCACGCACGTGTGCTCTCTCTCTGACAAATAAATAAAATCTTAAAAAACAAAAAAGTAATTCTTCAGACCATGAGAGATGACAGTGATTTGGACTGAGATGGTGACACTGGAGATGGAGAGAAGTAGATGATTTAAGAAATATACTTTTTTAAAGATGTATTTATTTATTTATTTGTCAGAGAAAGAGACAGACAGACAGAAGGCACAAGCAGGAGGAGCAGCAGGCAGAGGGAGAAGCAGATTCCCCACTGAGCAAAGAGCAGGACTTGATCCCAGGACCCCGGGATCATGACCTGAGCTGAAAGCAGACACTTAACCAACTGAGCCACCCAGGCGTCCCAAAAAATATTTAAGAGACAAAGCCAGCAGGGCACGTACTGAATGGAGCATTGGGTGTTATACGCAAAAGATGAATCATGGAACACTACATCAAAAACTAACGATGTAATGTATGGTGATTAACATAACATAATAAAATAAAATTAAAAAAAAAAACAGGAAATGATGATAGACAGTCCTGGTGAGAATGGGGAGATGTATCAAGGAATATCAAGGATGACAGGGTGGACTGTGGTAGATTCACTGAAATAAGGAATGAAGAAAGAGGACCAAGATCAGAAAGAAAAGAATATGAGCATGGTCTTGGACATGGCAAAGTCTGAGATGTTCTTGAGATATCCATATTTCTGACATTTGGGACTAGAGCTCAAGATCTGAGTAGGCAGAATACATAAATTTGTGGGTTATTTGCATGGAGGTGGAAAATAGTCATAGATGTGGATGAAACTGCCTAGAGTTAGGATGCTGAATAAGAAAGGGCTAAAGATGGGGCATCTGCGTGGCTCAGTCGATTAGGCATCTACCAGGGTCCTGGGATCGAGACCTGCATCCGGCTCCCTGCTCAGCGGGGAGTCTGCTTCTCCCTCTACCCCTCCCCCTTGCTCATGCTCTCTCTCTCTCTCTCAAAAATAAGTAAATAAAATCTTAAAAAAAAAAGAGAGAGAGAATTTAAAACCATATATACCTATGTCAATTCCTCTTCGGAGAGTATTTTTGTCAGAGTCCTGATGGCCAATCAGATCTTCCACCCAATGAATGTAGTTAAGTCTCAAGGGAACTGTAGGAATCAGTCTTTCCAATGGAATATCAATAGAAAGTCCAAAATCTTCCTTTAGAAGAGTACAGGTCAGAGCTCTGACTGCTTCCGGGTCTTTAAAATTAAGACTGAGGAATGGAGAAAAAGAAAGAAAACTGATTAGTAAGATTCGTGGTGCTATACAAGTTCTATGGTGGCCAGACAGTACCAAACACCCATCTGAATTCTCTAGGAGACCACACATAAAGAGCTATGTAGGGCATTCAGCAAACACATAGGGGTGCTTAACACAGTCACAGTATATGAAAGGCAGTATAAATGTCCACTGAAAACACTGCATTTTCATACAAGGAACATGGAGGACGGGAGTGCCTCTGTTCCAATTCCTGCCCGACTGTCTCCTTACTTAGTTATGTGACTTTGGACAAGTTATTTAACCTCCATGACACTGTTTCCTCAGCTGTAAAATGGGGATAATAATACCTATATCATAGTGTTGCTGTGAGATAATCTGAGAAAAGTTAGCATAATGCCCAGTACGTAGTAACTATTATACAAACAATGGCTATTTTTATTATTATCGTTAACATCATTTGACTTTAGCACTTTTTAAAAATCATATTTAAAAGTGGAAAGAAAGCAGTATAAAATGCTTAATAATGAAAACAAGGTAAGATACTTAAATATTATAGATAACAATTTTAAAAGGTAACTATTTTTAGCAGCTTTACTGAGGTATAATTTACATAAAATTCGTAAGTATACAATTCAAGTTTTTATTATATTAAGAGTTGGGCAACCATTACAATCCAGTTTTAGAACACTTCCATCACCCCAAAAAAGATACCTCATGCCCATTTGCAAGCCATTCCTTATTTCCACTGTCAGCTCTAGGCAACCACTAATGTACTTTCTGTCTCCACAGATTTGCTTCTTGTGGACATTTCAACTAAATAAAATCATACAATATGTGGCCTTATGTCTTGATTCTTTTACTTACCACAACCTTTGTGAGGTTCACCCATAGTGTAGCATGTATCAGTACTTCATTCCTTTACATGACCAAATAACATTCTATTATAGGAATAACCTCATGTGGTTTGTTTATCCACTCACCACTTAATGAACACTTTTTGGCTCTCAGGAACAATGGTGCTTTAAATATTCTCATGCAAGTCTTCGTATGATATTACCCATATATGATATTTACATTTAGCTTTTTAAGAAACTTGTGCCAATATGATTATTTTAATGTTAAAATGTTCCTAAAGTGGAAACCTTAAAACAAAACTGAAGATCTTATTTATAAATGGGGCAATGAAAAGAGAGCAGAAAGCCAGTAGACGGAACTGAAACTAAGAAAGGAGCTTTGAGGGGCATCTGGGTGGCTCAGTCGTTAAGCGTCTGCCTTTGGCTCAGGTCATGATCCCAGGGGTCCTGGGATCGAGCCCTGCGCATCAGGCTCCCTGCTTGGCGGGAAGCCTGCTTCTCCCTCTCCCACTCCCCCTGCTTGTGTTCCCTCTCTCACTGTCTCTGTCAAATAAATAAAATCTTTAAAAAAAAAAAAAATGAGCTTTGAAACTGCTCTAAATTCTGCCCTAAAGTTGTATGTTCCCATCTTAGCCATCAATTGACCAATCATTCTGAAAAACTCAATGCTCAGATGGAAGCAAGAGCGCTTTATCCACCTGGCTACCATGGAAACTTCAGGGAGATACCATGGACCCAAGCTCCACCATCACCCACAGCAAAAATATTCTAGAGTATGGGAGTTCAGAAATCTGGACTCTAATCTGGAGTCTGCTATCAACTAGCCATGGACTGAAGGTCACTTCAATTCTTAGGTCTCAGTTTCTCCATCTATAAGACTAAGGAATTAGAGGGCGCCTGGGTGGCTCAGTTGGTTAAGCGTCTGCCTTCGGCTCAGGTCATGATCCCAGGGTCCTGGGATCGAGCCCCACATCGGGCTCCCTGCTTGGCGGGAAGCCTGCTTCTCCCTCTCCCACTCCCCCTGCTTGTGTTCCCTCTCTTGCTGTATCTCTCTCTGTTAAATAAATAAAATCTTTAAAAAAAAAAAAAACTAAGGAATTAGACATAATAAAAATCCAAACATCCCTCCAGGTAAAATTTTAAGGGTTTATGATGCATACTATGAATTAGTAAAATGGTATTCACTTAAATATTTGTAGAGCAAATTATAGAGACGTGGAACAATCAATAGTTACTGAAGACATAGGATAACCAAACACCAGTAAACATTTCCATTATCCTCCAGTCTGATACCTAACAAATTCTCTATTCTTCTGCTTTATGACAGTAAGCATTTAATAACACTATTAAACATATATTAAGGAATATACAATCAATGGTTGTAGATGACATGATCTCTTTATTTTTTTAAGGGGGGGTGCAAAGGGAGAAAGAATCTTAAGCAGGCTACACTCCCAGCGTGGAGCCAACAAAGGGCTCAATCTGACAAACCTGAGAGACATGATCTACCCTTTAAAAAAACTGTTCAGAAAAACACAACTTTAATAAGTAAAAGAATTTGCAAAGAGTGATGATGAGCAGGATCAGATTTCAGGAATACATACAAAATTTGTTATCTATACAAAAACTGCACTCTACTTGAATATATGGTTTCTTATGACCTTTAAGAATGCTTCAGGGTTGGGCACCTGGGTGGCTCAGTCGGTTAAGCATCCGAATCTTGATTTTGGTTCAGGTCATGTTCCCAGGGTCCTGGGATCGAGCCCCACATCAGGCTCCCTGCTCAGCAGGGAGTCTGCTTCTCCCTCTCCCTTTGCCCTCCCCTGCCCCCAGCTCATGCTCATTCTCACTCTCTCTCAAATAAATAAAACCTTAAAAACAAACAAACAAACAAAAAAACCAAGAATGTTTCAGGGTACTAGTTTGTAGCAAAAAAATAAAAGATATTAAGAACAAAGATTTCACTGGGAGCGTAAACTGGTGCAGCCACTACAGAAAACAGTATGGTGGTTCCTCAAAAAATTAAAAACAGAACTACTGAGAGAGAGAGAGAGACAAACTAAGAAACAGACTCTTAACTATAGAGAATTGATGGTTACCATCAGAGGTCTGAAATAGGTGATAGGGATTAAGGAATGAACATGCTGTGATGAGTACTGAATAATGTATAGAACTGTTGAATTGCTATTATTGTACACCTAATATAAAACTGTAATATAAACTATATTGGAATTAAAAAAAAAAATAGAACTACCATATGGGCCAGCAATTCCACTTCTGAGTATCCAAAGAAAACGAAAACACTAACTCAAAAAGATATATGCACCCCTATGTTCACTGCAGCATTATTTACAATAGTTAAGACATGTAAACAACCTACATGTCCATCAGTGAATAAATGGATTAAAAAATGTGAAACCACACACACACACACACACACACACACACACACAGAGGCATACTATTCAGCCATAAATATGAGTGAAATCTTGCCATCTGCAACAACAATGGTGGACCGTGGCATCGTGCCAAGTAAAATGGATCAGACAGAGAAGGGCAAATACCGTATGATCTCACTTAAATGCAGAATCTAAAATGAAAAACAAAAAACACCTCATAGGGGTGCTTGGCAGGTTCAGTCGGTAGAGCATGCAATTCCTGATCTTAGGGTTGAGCCCAAGCCCCACACTGTGGGTAGAGTTTACTTAAAAAACAAACAAACAGGGCGCCTGGGTGGCTCAGTTGGTTAAGCGACTGCCTTCGGCTCAGGTCATGATCCTGGAGTCCCGGGATCGAGTTCCGCATCGGGCTCCCCGCTCAGCAGGGAGTCTGCTTCTCCCTCTGGCCTTCCTCCTTCTCATGCTCTCTGTCTCTCATTCTCTCTCTCTCAAATAAATAAATAAAATCTTTAAAAAAAAAAAAAAAAAACCGTCATAGACAGGAAACAGATTGGTGGTGGCCAGAGGCAGGGGGTGGGTGAAATGGCGAAGGGGGTCAAAAGGTATAGATTTCCACTTATAAAATAAATAAGCCACGGAGATGTAATGCACAACATGGTGGCTATAGTAAATACTATATTGCAAATTTGAAAGTTGCTAAGAGAATCTTAAAAGTTCTCATCACAAGAAAAATTTTGTGACTATATGATGACAGATATACTTATTGTGATCATTTTTAATATATACAAATATTGAATCATCAAGTTATATACCTAAAACTGATATATGTCAGTTATACCTCAGTTTTAAAAAATAAAATTTTAATATAATCTATAGCAAACAGAAAGAAGAGGGCTATTGTGGAATCTCAAGAGATATAATCAGAACCCAGAAGCAATGAGCATACCTAGTGTTCCAGATCTTGGTTTCCAAATACCACTCCCATTAAAAGAAATCAGAGGTCCTTAGTAGAATGGCTATTCCAGATTTGAAGTAGGAGAAAGTTTAAGATGAGCCTGGAACACTTTGTTATACCAGAAAACAGCTCAAAGATGAGGAAAGTCAAAAGGACATGGGCCAGTCAATGAGGCTCCCACTGACCAAATCTGGCACAATTTGAATGAAGAATGCTATCAAGGGATTATAACCCACAGAATAAAAGAAAGATACATGAGTCCATACTTAAATAAATGGGGGAGAAAACACAGCTCTTATTTACAGTGGGATGATAACTAACACATGTAGAAGAAATGAAGGAGCTAGAAAATTACACTTGGCAATCACCATGCTCCTGTTTCAATTAAGAATCATCAATGGATGCTAAAAACAGTAGATAAAAGTTCATTGAGAAACAGAGTATTTACAAGGTCTCAAAGTACTTCCCCACAAATTATCAATTACAAAGGAGAAAATTGTAACTCTATAATGAAGAAATCTGATGAATACCACCTTAAACAAGCGATCAAAGTTAACACCACTTAATTATGGGACAAACTGACATCATATGCTTCAATAAAACATCAAGAAGGACAAAACAGGGGCACCTGGGTAGCTCAGGTGGTTAAGCGTGTGGCTCAGTCAGTTGAGCGTGTGCCTTCTGCTCAGGTCATGATCCCATTGTCCTGGGATAAAGCCCCACATTAGGCTCCCTGCTCAGCGGGGAGCCTGCTTCTCCCTCTGCCTGCCACTCCCCCTGCTTG